TTTTTAAAAACAGAACTTGAAACAAGGTTTCCACTGCCATTGTTGTATATATCTGTACATCTTATATTGTGTTTTGATAGCAGTTACAAATTTTGTGTCTGTTCCCTTTAAAAATGTAAACTTTGCCGTGGCCAGTTTGGCTCAGCAGTTAGAGCATTGGCCAGTGGACCAGAGAGTCCCGGGTTCAGTTCCCACTAAGGGCACGTACCTCGGTTGCAGTTTGTCTCTGGTTGGGGTTGTGTGAGTGGCGACCACTCAGTGTGTCTCTCCCACATCGATGTTTCTCTCTTCCTCCCTCTCTCCTTCCCACTCTATCTGAAAATAAATGCAAAAATGTCCTTGAGTGAGGATAAAAAATAAATAAAAATAAAAACGTAATCTTCAGTTGTCCAGTCACTAACTATTTTACAAGTAGGTTTAGTACTAGTGCCTAGGAATAGCACGAATTACTTGCTGGTCAAGGCTCAGACACACACCAAGTGTATACTCTGCTCTCCGTAAGAATGGAGCAATAACCCAGCCCACAACTCACATTTCATAATATTACATGTAAAGTTCTCATCATTAGAAGAAGTTTCAGGAGCTTTTTATTTGCCTCATATATATAATAGATAATACAAGTTATTGTTAGATACTGTTAGTGCTATAACTTTGAACGAAAACTAGCTTACTATCTCTCAGATGTAATGTAGTTTAATTGAAAACTGTCTGGACATTGAAATGAATTTTTAAAAAGCTTTTATCATTTGCAGTTCATACATGGATGATAAAGCTGAGTAGCCATAAAATACAGATCATCTGCATGCTGAAGTAAAATAAGACTTATTTATAACTTCTCTTTCAAATATTTTTGTTCATTTGTGCAGTCTCATTGTTCTTGTTGGCTGGCTTTATAATAAATAGTGTAAATTTGAATCTCTAAAATTTATACAGATCAGAGTCTGCTTTTTAGTTTTATATGTTGTTTAGGTTTGTGTAAGATATAATTGGAAAAATCACTTTACCAAATAAAATTAGAAACCCATTCATATAAGCCTCTGAACACCTGTATTTAGGCAGGTAACTTGCGTAAGTTGTACAGATTGTGCCCACACTTGTTTCATCCAACCTCGGTCTTGCTGCCTATCAAACCTGATTCCTTTAACGATTGCTTGCAGGCTGTGGCTGGAGGCGGGGCCCTTGGCCTTTAAAAGCATGTGATTAAAGCACCTCCGCTTCTGACACTTGTTTGCTGAACTAAATTGCCTTGGATTCTTAGGTACAGAGGATTTTGAATTCTCACACTTTGTTTTACTTTGCTTTCTTATTTGACTCTGTAGCATTCAGAAGCATAAGAGTGATATAAAAGAAATAGATACTTTATAAATTTCAAGTCCATGTTTCTTAGTTATATTTAATTGAGATGTTTTAGAGTTGTAGTTACTTTTTTGTTTCCCAACTTTTATAGACTGGGTTTAAGTTTCTTATCTACTTGATTTCTCATCAATGTTGTGGCTAGTCAAATTCCCAAGATGTCATTTACTTGAAGTTAAGTGTTTGTAAGTTGAATATAGTTAATAATTCTGGTTTCTCTTCAGGTGCACGAATTAAGTTCAGTTGGTGTCTTCTCTGTCAGTTTTCTAATTTAATTCTGTGTGTAACAGCTAAATCTGATATTGTTTCTAACTTTATAAATGTCATATGATCTTCACAATTATACTATGTTTTGTGATAGTTTTAGAGATTGGGCTACAGTGACTTACTAGCGAATTAAAAATCGGTCCATATGAAAAGATGAGATGATCCTTTCACTTAGTCACTGTATTTTGAATGGAGAGGAGTCCCCACTTTCTAAGTGGGAATTTTTTATTTTCTAAGTAGCTTTATTTAAGAAAATCCGTTTTGAAATTTTAGTTAGACATAGAGGTTGAAACATATATGTTTGTTTCTTCTCCCTTCCTAAGTCTGCTAAAATGACAGTAAAAGTAATAAAGATATAAGTGAAGAAAATGGAAGAGGCAACATAACATCAGACTAAAAAAGTGAGATTTTAGAAATGTTAAAAAGCAGATGGATAAATTATAACCAATTTAGCAGAGCAGAGCAATTTTGATGGAACTTAATATGTAATAATTTATAATAATGTACCTAACAACTCTTCCATTAATGACCATTTAGGTTCTTCAGTTCTTCATTGTTATAAATAGCATTCTATGCATTTTTTAATTTGATTTCCTGTTTAGAATTGATTTCCCAAAATTACTGAATCAAAGTTTATGCCTTATGGATTATTATATTATTGTGCCAGGTTGTTTTCTAAAGGTCATTTTCATTATTAACATCAATTAATAGAATCTTCCATTTCACTACATCCTAGCCACCATTCATTTACCGTAAAGTGTTCAGTCAGAGGAAGGATCAGTGGTGTTTGTAGGGAATTCTTGGCTGTTGTATTACGAGAGTGTGGCGTAATGTAAGTAAACACGCGTGTAGATTACTAGGGAATGCTTACCTGGCGACCTTTACCTTTGCCACCTGGAGTAAAGATGGATGCTGCCAGTTTAGAGAAAGAGATTCCTTCCTTGGTGTTTTCAGGGAAGACCTCAACTAGGAGGTAGGATTAGAGGTGAATCTAAGATGGGAAAGAGTTGAAGAGAACTATTTGGGTAGATACATGGGGATATGCCAGTCTTGATCCAACAAGGAGACGGAAACCACAGAAACTTAAATGATTAGTTCAAGGTAGTAGAAGAGGGTAAAGGGGGATAAATGCTGACAGAAGACTTGACTTCAGGTAGTGATACAGGTGATATATTATAGAGTTGTATACTTAAACCTGTATAATTTTATTAACCAATCTCACCCCAATAAATTCAGTTTAAAAAAGAATTACTAAGCTATGGTAGGAGAGAAACTACACAGTTACTGTATAAAGAGAACTCTAAAAGGTACCCTAGGGCTGAGAGAAAGTACCCTAGGAAGGACAAACTGGGAACGTGGGTTTAGATCTCATTGGAGAAGGTGTGGTTGCAGCCCATTGGATGAATCTGGTGTGTTGCCTGGGCTAGAGCTGGTCCACAGTGACTTTTTCAGCAGGTGAACCAACACCAGAGGGAGGGTGTACAGTCATTCATGGTGCTGCTGCAAATGTGAGCCCTGGAGTGTGTGGTGCCTGTGTTGGAAGGACCACAGTAATAAACCTCAGGTGCAAATGAGTGGAGGCAGGTGGTGGGTACAGAGGAATTCGGGGCACTGCTTTGGCTACTGCTGCAGTGGGGATATGGTGAGGCCTTACTCTGCAGCAACCTAGAGCACGACTGGCAAGTTCCAGGCTGCTGTGGGGGACAAACGTCAGGTGGCGGGCCCTTTAGAAAGCCAGCTTGGCAGTGCCTCCAGCATGTGAGTGTGGGCCAAGGAGAGGGTGTAGGGAGCAGCCACCAGGTCTGGGACATAAGTCTACTCCTCGGACTCTTGCTACATTGCTGCTGTCACCTGAGTATAGAGCTGGAGAAAGAGAGGGCATGTATGTACCAGCTGGCCAGATGCTGAAGAAAGCTGTGCCCCTAGGCACTTAGCTCTAGAGCAGGTTTCTGAACCTTGACACTGTTAACCCTGAGGGCTAGATAATTCTTTGTTGTAGGAGCTGCCCTGGGCACTGTAGGTGGTTAGCAGCATTCCTGACCTCTACTCACTAGATGCCCGGTAGTGCCCCCTCCCCCAGTTGTGACAGTGGGACCTCTTTCTAGGTATTGTCATATGTCTTCTGGGGGCACAGTTGTCTCCAATTGCAAATCATTGCACTAGAGAGACCACAGCCTGGGGGTGGGGGTGGGGGTGGGGGTGGGGGTGGGGGTGGGGGTGCGGGTGCGGTTAGTGCTCCATAAACCTGCTGTGAGATACATTGAAACCAGGAAGAGAAAAAAACCTTCCCCTGTAGCCTGTAGTGTCTCTGGGGCACTCTCCCAACAAAGCTTAACATTGTGTCAGCTGGCAGAGGAAAAATATTTGAAAGGCCCAGATCCATTTTTCCAGAGAAGGCAGTGAAGAGTGAATTTGGAGCTGAGGCAGTAGGTTAATAACTGGTACAAGTGAGGAAGCATTCCTGAAGTGGCTGAGGATTAAAGATTAGCAGATGGGAGACAGAAGCCTGAGGACACAGGAAATGCAGGGACAAGACGATGAGAGAGCAGGGTCAGTGAAAAGTGGTAACAGGAGAAAAAGTTCTGGGGTCTGGGAATCTGGATTCTGGATGACTTTGAATGAATGGAGGCTAGCTGAAGAGGAGGATAGGAAGACCATGGAATGCCTGAGACATGGTCCTGTTGATTGACACCGGGGAGGCGGAGCAGAGATGGAGGAGTGATGTCAGTCACCTGGGACTGCATTTTTCCACATACTTTGAGGACTCAGGAAATCGATCATGATATTATCGCATCCTGTTGTTTTCCACCTACCCATTTTAGGATTTAATAACCTAGTGCTTGAATAATGCTGTACAAATATGCTTCCAGTTGGGATGAGAGGATTCATAGAGGAAAACACAGAGATCATCAAGTTCACTGAGCCTCTTTATAGTTCTGTCTGGGAGGGTAAAAGGGCCAGCCACAGCCTCTGTGTCTTTCACCACTCTCCACCAGGTGAAGGCAGGGGGGTCTCACTGCTAAAGCTGAGGTTCGAAGAGAAGTCGGGTGGCGGGAAAGCACAGGTGAGCCGGTTGTTGTCCTTTCAGACTGGAGAGGAGAGTCATGCAAAAGGCTGATCTGACTGTGCTCCACACTCCTCTGTAGCCTTTCATCTCACCAAGAAATGCTTCCCTGTTTCTTCCTAGTCTTGTGGTTTGCTTTGATTTTTTTTTCAATCTTATAATCCATAATAGCTGAGGGGTCATCTATCTCCCAAATTTCCTTGTAGCATTCCTTCTAGGTATGTTGAAATTTGCCATTTTTATTCTTGAATATTGTCTTTGGCTCAAGGTTTTACGTTTTAGTGACTTTTGATATTGTTTTTCTTCCTTTATTTAGAAATGGACTCAGAAATCAAGGAAGAAATTCCTCTGCATGAGGAATACATTTTATGTGGCGGAGTTGAAACCCAAGTTCTAAAATGTGGGCCCTGGACTGACCTCTTTAATGATGAAAGTGCCCACAAGCCTAAGCTGCTTATTTTCGTTATTACTGGTAAGTTTAAAACTCTGGATAAGGAGACTGTATAGATACTTATAACTATTTCTTATCTCAGAGATAATTTGGTAAATATGAAAAGCCTTACAGAAGGAAATAAAATCACTCAAACTATTGACGACAACCACTCTTAGTAGGGTGGCTGGGCTTTTTTCCTTCTATGTGTTTTTTTAATATGTTATGTTTATTACATATATGTATATATCACAATTTTAAGTATACATATGTATAATTTTGTAATGTTTTTAAATTAAAAAATTTTTAGAATAATTAGAACTTTGTCAAATATTTTTCAAAGTTTTCTAAATAACTTTTTTGTTTCATTTCAAGATCATTATAAGTTAATTGTAGAATGTTTACTTATTCTGGGTCATTTGTGACTTTTGCTGGATCACTGTCAATAGAATGTTAGAGGTAGATGCTTGATTGTAGGTATTCAAAGCACTTTTTGAATTGTAAATGAATTGAATGAATATATGTATATATACACATATACATATATACACATATATAAATACACACACACACACACACACAGCAGCCTTAAATATTAAAAAGTGAAATTGTGTAAATATGTGCTATAACATATTATGTTGTATTGATCATATATTATATAGCTAAATCTGTAGGGTATAATGATTACATTCTTTTCTTTATTTGTTTTCTCTGGATTAATGATTATCTCTTTCATTTGCTTAGTTTTCTGTGTTGTAATCATTAATTTATTCTAAAATTATTCTCTAAGAGTGAAAAAAAATTCTCTCAATACATTTCAGTAATCAGTCATTTTTTGTTTTTTGGGGGGTGATCTGATCTCCCTCCGAGAGCTCTGTTCTTTTGCCCCCATCTGGACCGATTGCTCTCCAGGCCTGCAGCACAGACGACCTGGGGATTCTTTCCCTTCTCTCTGGGTTGGGTTCCCTGTTCCCTGGATCCCGTGTTTTCTTCTATCTTGGTTTATTGCCATATTTTTGGTGGAGCACATCTTCCAGTAGTTTCATGAAAAGAGATACGTGGGAAGTAATCTTTTAAAGATCTAACATGTCAGAAAATATCTTAGACTTCCAGGTTAGAGATAATGTTTCCTTAAAATTTGGAGGGCATTTTTATTGTTTGCCAGGACTCAGAGCTGCTTTTGGGAGCCTTGATATCATTCTGATTTTTTATCTTTTGTATATGAAGCTCCTTCACCCCCGAAAAAACTTTTAGATCTTTTCTTTGTTCTAAGATTCTGATATTTTTCAGTGAAAGACCATGTTATGAATGCTTTTTCATACATTGTATTTGGGTTTTAGTGGACTCCTTTAAACCAGAAACTCATATACGTCAATTCTAAGAGTTCTGTTCTCTTTCTTCATTTTTTATAGTCTCCTACTCTGCAGGTATATTCTCATTTTCTTTGGCTTCTTGCATTTGTTAGGTTTGCTGTGTTGCTTTTTCTTTTTGTCTGCCTTAAGTGTTTGTTTGTGTTTTGTTTTGTTTTTTAAATGTTTGGTAATCCCTGACTGCCCTATCATTTTTAAAAGGAAGACACAAAAAATGGTTAGCAGCTCTGTATTTAGGGGTGGGACTTGTCAGCAGGTGTGCCTAGGGTGACCTGCCTTCTTGGTCTGAGTGGTATTCCTGGACATGGGACTTTTGGAACTAAAACCACAATAGTCCTGGGCAAAACAGAATGGTTGGTCACCCTAATTAATCCTCAGCTTGGGATGATTGGATAGGGACCAAGCATTTCAGTGGAGAATTTCCACCTTTCAGTGTCTGTAACTGTTTCTTGGATTGTGCCATTTTCCTAGGAAGAAACGTCCCAGTGTCCCGTTTGAGGAGTGGGAAAGACCTGTCTGCTAACGTTCCTGCTGAGCAGGGAAAGGAGGTTGAGAGTCTCAGTGTTTGATAACGTGTAATCTACCGTCTTCACAGTCGGCTTTGTTCTCAGTGGGGCTGAGCGTCTTGATACCACATCTCTCTTCATTTTAACCTCTTTTGGAAATAAACATTCAGTCTTCTTCCATGATGTGACAGTCTTTTTGGAGAGCACTCTGTTGGTATCAATTGAAATTGAAAATATGTGTGCTCTGCCAATAGTGAGAGAGAGTTTGAAATTTTAGGCATGACAGGTGCTATTTGATGGAGCAGAGATTTGGAGGCCATGGCCGAATACAGGATTGAGAAAATAAGTAGAAGCATTATCCTGGACTGGAGAAGGGATCTCCCCCTGAGGCTAGAATAAAAAAGATGAAGTTGGTTTGTGAAATGGAGATGGGTGAAGGGAGTCTTCGAAGTAGTTCCTGCCTCCTGACCTCTGTTTTCTCTGTCAATTAAGAGATGAGGCCCTGGCTGGGTAGTTCCGTTGGTTAGAGTGTCATCCCAATGTGCCAAGGCTGCGGGTTCCATCTCCAGTCAGGATACATACAAGAATCAACCAATGAATGCGCAAATAAGTGTAACAACAAATTGATGCTTCCCTTTCTCTCCTTTCCCTTTCCTTTTTCTCCTTCCCCCTTCCTCCTTCCTTTTTCTCTAAATACATACATACATACATACATAAAAGTTGAGGTGATCTTGATAGTAAGGATAGCAGAGGGTGGATTGGGGCTTTGAGGAAAGTGGTCAGTGCTGAGAATAGTAGATATGCAGGATGAAGGGAATTATCAATCAAAAACAAGTAGATAGAGTTTGAGCAGCACCGTGATCAAATAGCAGGTGTATTGGGAGTGAGGTCTAAAACGGAAGAAGATTAAACCGAAGAGCTATCTGAGGTCAGATGCTTTGGATGTTAACCATTTCTGGCTAATGGAAAGTTCTAGGACTGTGGTTCTTAAACTTGGTGTCAGGACCAGCAGTATCATCTGCAGGCTTGTTAGAAATACAAGTTCTTGGCCCCCATCCCAGACCTTCTGAACCAGAAACTCTTGGGGTGGGGCAGTCTGTGTATAACCGACCTAACAGGAGACTGATATGCATACCACTGATTTAGGGTGTGACTTTTGAAATGATTTTGATTATGGGTCAAAGGTGTTGGTTTAGTCAGTCCATTCAGATTTTGAAATCACCTTGATCATGAAATGGCAAGTGAAACTTTAATTCAAGGATCAAGGTTTTCAGGAAATGTGTGCGAATAACTAAAAAGTTGAGCCCTGGCCGGTTTGACTCAGTGGTTAGAGCGTCAGCCTGCGGTCCAGAGAGACCCAGGTTCGGTTCCCACTAAGGGCGTGTACCTCGGTTGCAGTTTGTCCCCCGCCCTGGTTGGTCATGTGGGTGGCAGCCACTCGATGTGTCCCTTTCACATCGATGTTTCTCTCTCTCTCTCCCCCTCTCTCCCCCTCCCCCCTCCCCCTCTCCCTCCCTCTCCCTCCCTCTCCCTCTCCTCTCCCCTCCCTCTCCCTCTCCTCTCCCCTTCCTCTCCCCCTCCTCCCTCCCTACCTCCCTTCCTCCCACTCTTATCTGAACAAAAAAATGGAAAAATGTCCTTTGGTGAAGATAAAAAATAAATAAATAAAAAATAAAAAGTTTGGTTGATAGAAGTAGATGGCTTCAGTCTTAGTGGAGGAGCAGTTGTTATAATAAGATGAACTGGTAAGTGGAGCAGACAGCTCACTCTACTCCCCACTCAGAGGCATTCGTCAGGTACGCATTTATGCTAGGTGATAGGAATACTGTGTTGCAAAAGCCTTTGCTCTCACGGAGGTGTAGGAGGTGTCAGGGTCTAGTGAGGTCTCCCCTGCAGAGGCTCCAGAGGAAGAGCCCATCACAGGGGAGCGCCAGATTTAGGACATGGAGAAAGGGAAGCCGAAAACATTTGTGATTTTATAGTCTCTCCGTTTGGACATTTTCAGGTCACATTTAGTGTCCTAGTGTTCTTTTATGTTTGTCCTTCTATTCTCATCATTGTCTTTGGCCCTTTCCTTGGTGTTCTTGGGAGCAATAGGCTGGTGTTGCTCAGTAGTCGGTGGGATTCAGAATTGTTTTTTTCATTTGGGGCCTAATCTATTTATACTGTGGGGAAATTAGGATGACAGTATTTCAAGGATTGTTAACCGCTATAGACATTGTGTTTAATCCATCTCTGATGGAATGACATAACATTTCATTTTAAATTACTTTGCTTTTGCAGCTAGCAAAATTAATTCATCACTTTTAAATTAGCAATGGTAATGAGGAGTGAATCCACATATTGAAGAACTTTTCATTTAGTTTCATCTTTTCCAGTAAGGAGTGAAATGAGCAAAGGAAGGCAATTTGAGAACTCACCGGAGAATGTATTGGGTCATTATAAATCTCATAAGGGGATAATAGAACCATGTGACATGTCTTGTGTTGTGAGTACACTGATTGGAGATGGAGCAGAAGGCTCCAAGGACAAGTCCAAAATTCTGTCCATGTGACCACCTTCCATATAGATGCTATGCCACATTAACTTGATATATGGAAGTTTTTGTCCCCTACAGGATTAACTGGAAGGCATTAAGTGTATAATTGCAATGTTGAATAGTTACAAGTTTATTGGCAATCAGGATCTAGCTGATCGCCACAGGCCCTGTCATACATTGCTTGGGCATTTGACTGAGTATGTTCAAGCATGTTTGTAACATTTTGATATCCTTTGACAAAATGTTTTACTTGTGTTCTGTATTGGAATGTTTTCAAACATCCTTACACTTGGAGTTTTATATATATATGATGATTTTGGTTGTATAAACAAACCCTTTTAATTTTCTCTGTGGTTTCCTGGTCAGGAAGTTTAGTTCATGGTTCATAAAGGGTAACATAAGCCATAACATGGAAGTGACGAAGTAAGCAGTGACACTTAAACATTTCCCATTACACTGTCCACTTCTGTTATAAGTTGGATCGTCATGTTACTGGCCATGGTGGACTCTTTTTGTTCAAGAGCAAACTATTTGTCAAGGGCTTTGCATGTGTTCTTCTCCTGTCCTTGTATGCTTTTCTCTCAAATCCTTACAAGGTTGATTTCTTCTCACCCTTTGGGTCTTAGCTAGTGGCCACCTTCGTGGACATTTTTCTCAGGCCAGTCTACTGTCTTCCATTTTCTATCACATGATCCTATTTCTTTCATAGAAGTTATCACACTCTTGAATTATTTTATTCACTTACTTAGTTGTGTGGATATATTCTCCCACGAGAATATGAGTTGCAAAGAGGCCCCCTCTATCATGTGCCTAACACAGTGACTTCTACATAGTAAGTGGTCAGTGAATAATTGATAACGAAAAGAATATTGTTTTATAGCAGCTCCATTATCTAGTGTTCATTGGTTTTATATATCCTGTCATTGTGGCTATTGCATCTAAATTATGTAGTTATCTTGGATTCTCCTCAATGTTAGACCAGTTTTAACATGCTATACACCTTACACTTACAGAATGTCACATGTCAAATTTATTCAATAAAAAAATTTAAAAATATAATAATTATAGTAATAATGGCTACCATTTATTCAGGACCTATTATGTGCCCGGTAATGTACAAGTGACTGCCCATTTATTATCTCTAATGCTAATGCCAGCTACTTTGTAGAGCTGTCATAAAATGAACTAAAACGGGATATGCAAAAGATCCTAGATCAGGTCATTTGTGTTCTTTTTTAAATTCAGTGTTAATATTTTATTTTATATATGCTTTCAGTCATCAAATATTTATTGAGCACATATGATCTGTGTGACCTTGGGCAAATTACTTAACCTCTCTATACTTCACTTTATCTATAAAATAGAAATAATAGTACTACCTCATGTGAGGATAATGAGTTAATATATGAAAAGCACTTTACTGCCTGTTATATAATAAGTTATACTTTTAAAACTATTGACTGTTATTATTTTCTAGATATATGAAAGAAACTATAGAACTTTGCTGAGAAACAAAACATTTAAATATAAGACGTACATTCTGAGGTTATAATCAGTAATGTAAAAAAAAAAAAAAAATCTTTCTAAATTCATGTATAAATGAGATGAAATTTCCATCTGAATTCCAAAGAGATTTTTAAAAATTGAAACTGGTGAAAATAATTTCAAAGATTATGAGACCAGCCTAGAAAATTTAGACAAAAAAAACTAAAGAGAAGGGATTTGCCCTACCTTAAAAACACAATGTAGTAATTGAGACAGTATGGTGCTGGCAGAAGAGAAAAGGAAAGATATAAATTTACCAGAATTAGCAAGCTAATGTAAGAACTCAGTATTGGATCAGAAGACATTTCCAATCAATGCAGAAAGAATGAATTATGTTATAAATGGACTTGGGACACTTGGCTAATCACTTGGAAAGAAGTTGGATTGCTACTTTGTACTTTATACTAAAAAATATTCCACACTTACTGAAGATTTAAATATAAAACATGAAACAGTGTCATCCACATCTGCTGTATGTGGTACAGCCCCATCCTGATACACCCCTCCTCCCTTCTTTCCCCCGCAGCTGCACGTGGCCAGTCAGCTGAGCAAAGAGCATGTTATTGCACCTAAGGATGTTTTCACCCTGTTTAACAAAGATCATATTGGCACCATCTCAAAAAGGAATTTGGAAATAGGGTCATTAGGTCAGAATGTGACAGAAACAAAATAACAGTATGGATAGTAAGGCCATCATATATTACCATCATGGCTAGACAGTGATGATGAGTATGAATAGCTAACATGTATACAGCATTCATGTATCAAACAGCATTTAAGTATTTTACATATATTAATTCACTTATTTCTCACATGAGATAGTGTGATTATTATCCTTGTTTTATGGACAAGGAAACTAAGGCCTAGAGAGGTTAAATAACTTGCCAAAGGTCAAACACATAGCAAGTGGCAAAGCCGGGATTCCAACCTAGGCATTCTGGCTCCAGAGTCTGTGCCCTGATCCACTTTGCTACATTACCTGTCTAGGAAACTAAAAGATACAGACAATGAAGAAGAAATCGGTGCAGCAAAACCATGTCATGTAACTGCAAAGAGGAGAAAACCTAATAGGATAAAGAACAGATAAATTGATTGGAGAAATAGATATTGATGGAAATGGACTAGTATCTATGAAGACATACAGATGATGATCCCGAGATGAAAACTCCATTTTGCTGCCTTTTCCCTGTAAAAATGTATCAGTTTGACTCTTTTAAAAAGACCATTTATTCATTCTTTCTTTATAGCAAACCCATGTCAAAAATACCTCTGTACATACACAAGAAAAATCCACTTGTATTACTTGGTGGTCTTTTCCTCAAAAGATCAAGCTATACATCTGTACAATACAGATGAATACTTGTGATAAATGACAAGGAAACACCGCGTAGCCTCCTTAAAGTTTTCTTTGTGAATGATTCTTACACTAATTTGTTTTCATGCAGCTTGGCAACTCTGCATAGTCAAATTTTGAAGGGATTTACAGGCATCATTAATGATTTTAGACTATTTGGATGACAATGGGAAGCCACTGAAAGGTGGTTAAAGAGGGTACTGCTGTGATTTGATTTGAGGTTTGACGATATCTCTCTGCGTACTCTGAAGAATGGATTTCAGAGGGACAAGACAGAAGACCCATTTAGAAAGCTGTTTAGGAAACGCAGTTGAAAGTGATCATAAGAATGGAGAGAAGCAGACAAAGTTAAAATGTATTTTGGATGTGAAGTTGACAGGGCTTACTGGTAAACTGGATGTGAAAAACAGGGAGAAACCAAGAATGACTCCTGGTATTAGGACTTGAGTATTTGGGTTATGATTGGTGGTTTTATTTATTAAGTTGAGAATTGGGGAGGAAGAATTTATTTGAAACAGTTGGAGAACAAAGCAGGAACAGAAATTTTCTAAGTGATCATTCCCAGACTTAAGGTATAAAGGATATTAAAGTTGAAGTGTATGTGTAAACATTACTAGATTTGTTGAGGAGAAAAAAATCCTTTTCTGCACATTATTGCTTTGGTTAATCTAAGGTCTGTGCTTCTTTTCTTAGGTAACCCAGGATTTTCTGCCTTTTATGCGCCATTTGTAAAGGCTTTATACTCTTCAATAAACAGGCGCTTTCCGGTTTGGGTTATCAGTCATGCTGGGCATGTTCTAGCCCCCAAAGACAAGAAGATTCTTGCAGCCTCAGATGGTATGTCTTTATCAATATCTGCTTTCCTTTACAGGGAGTGAGTGTTCATGTTTCTAGAAAGCCCGCTAAGGTTAAGAGTTACACTACACCAGTGGAAACCTGGCATTGGGCCCATGATGCCGCATTTCGGTAATTTTAGGATTTTTAGAGTCATTTTCATTCTTCTACAGGTAGCTTTCTATAAAAATGTGGGCATATTAAACAGTTTGTCTAGGACTTCTCTTTTCTATTACAAACTAGTAATCAACTATATATTTACCGATCATGCACTACATGTCCAAGGTTGTACTAAGAGGAATGGCGGAGAAAAGTTATAAACAGTGGTCTCCAGCCATGGTCCTTACTCTAAGATGCTCTCTCTCACTTTTAGAGAACAACTGAGTGATAGGCCTGCTCATCATGTGGATGCTGAAGGAGTAAGCAAAAGAGAGACCACGAATGGGTTTCAGAAGACTTTGTGGAATAGGGACCTTCATGGGTGGGGTGGCCTACTTCTTTATCTGGTAATTTGCTAGTAGTTGTGACATACACCTGGCTGTATGTTTATTCAAGATGGGTGTCTGGAAGTGGGAGCCTCCTTGATCAAAGTCTCAATGGCAGGCACTCACACTGCTCTGTGAGGTGATGGACCATTAATCAACTGGATTGTGGTCATCATTTCACAGTGCATATGTTATTAAATCATCACATTGTACACCTTTAAAAACCATCACATGTACAACCTAAATATATATAATTTTTATTTGTCGATCATACTTCAGGAAAGCTGGAAAAAGAGAAAAAAATAATTGTAGTAAGGGGACAATGGGTACATGGGGGTTACTATACCATTCTTTGTACTTTTGTGTATGTTGGAAAGCTTCCACTATTGGGGGGAAAAACCTTCAAAGATAGAAAAAAAGTATAGAATCTTAGACCTAAAAGCGTCTACATCAAATCCCACCTTGTACCTTATTTTTCAAGGAAGGAAAGACCCACAGGGCTACATGGTCTCCTGCTGTGAGTGGCAGAACCTCAGCAAGAAGCCAGCACATTAACATGTAGCTCAGCCAGTGCTAGTGCTCTTGGTAGGTCATCTCAGTCGGCTGCTGCCAAGTGCTAATGAGACTGGGTTTTCAGGTGTAGGTACTCTGTGAGCTAATTCTTAGATTAGACCTTCTGTGGTCTGTGACCCTTCCCCCCCCCCCCCCCCCCCCGCTGTGACTGATAAGGGGGACAGGGTTAATGGAGTGCAGGTGAAACCAGGAACTCCTGGCGAATGCTCACGTAGGCACCACGAAGTGCCTCATTCAAAGTGTCCTCTTCTCTCTGCGTGTGTGCGTGCGTGTGTGCATCTCCCTAGGGATGCAGCTTGAGAGACTTTTACACTTGGCTTAAAGACTAAGGTATACTTTGAAAAGTAAGTAAATAGTGGTTATGTAACAGTGAATGATTTAAAAAGCAGTAGTGACATGAAACTGAATATTCAGTTATTGCCGTAATTAAAAACATCTCTTTCAACAACCATCATATTGAAATGTGATTGAAAGTGAGTAAAATGTATATCAAATATTTGCTCTGCTCTGAAATATTTTAAAAGATACATTTTTATTGTTTTTAGGTTATGTTTTCATCTATGCCCAAAGAAAGTTTTATGTTCAATAAAGCAAACATTTGAGCAGAATGTGACAGCAATTTTGAAAGTTGAAAATGGACTCCTGAAGGGTAACCTTAGCTTGGGGGCTCTCAGACGTAAGCGTAGGGCAGAATCCCTTGGAGGTGATTTGTTAGAACGCACATTGCTGGGCACTGGCCTCTGAGGTGTTGATTCGTTGGTGTGCGGTAAGACCTATCACTTGCATTTCTAACAAGTTCCCAAGTAGTGTGGATGCTGTGGTCCTGGGACCACATCTTCAGACCACTGCCATAGATCTTCACCAGTAAACGCTGGTGAGGAAAACCAGTAAAAAGTACCTGTTGTGTGCCTGAATTTCTGGGAAATGTCTTTCTTTCTTGTTTTAAATTGACATCTTGTTATTTATAACTTTATTTTGAGTATGCTTACTGCTTATGTACTACTGAGGTAGTAACAGTAATTAGAGCCTCGGTCCTTGCTACCTAATGAGAATAGTGCCATCTAGAGGCATTAGCCCAAAGGGCCACCAGAGGGCCAAAGGGAGCTGTGGTTTCTAGAAGGGGTGAAAGGGTGACTCATCATCATCATCAAGGATTTATTGACAACCTACTAGGTTATTTTGTGTGGAGCTGCAGAGGTCTTCAAGGAAATAGAGATGCTGCCTTTTAGGTTAGTGACTTTCCATCTGTGTTCTGAGTAGCCCAAAGTTCTGTGGAAGGCAGATGGGGCTCTGGGCCTCACTAGCACCCCATACACTCCTTTCATGTTTTACATGTTGGAGGTTATGTCTGCAAACGCATGCTGTAGTAGATTGCTTTGGATAGGCAGGACAGATATATTATTCATCATCCAAGATTATTATTCTAAAGTACAGGTTTTCTGACATGCAAAATATTGTGTGAAAAGTATGTAATCATTGAGAGAAAGGACATAAGCTATAACCACACATCAAGTGTTAAAAGGATGTCTTGCTTCATTTTAGCACATGTTAAAATTATGAACAGTTGGAAATAATATTCTCATTGCACCACATTATCACAGTCATAAATTGAGTATAATTGGGAGAACAGATGTTCACCAATGTCAGAAGGGGATGATTCAAAAAAAAAGTGTGAAAAGAAAATTTGAGGAATTAGAAGTATAAACTCTTTCTGGCTTTGATTTACTATAGAGTCCGCTTCCTTGATGGCAGATTCATTATCAACTATTTTAAGTCATTTGTTCAAAATGTATAACATAAAAGCTGGAAATCATAGTGGTTTAGTTTCAGCTGATAAAACATTATCTTAAAAAGTTATACAATCTTTCAGCTAATGATGAATTTGGGTCATGCTTAACCAAAGAAACATTAAACCACTCCTGTTCTAGTACCCAAAACTGAAAGAGAGAAAAACCCAGTAGAACTTTCTTTCTTGCCAGGACTGTGATTGGCAGAGGAGCATGGAGGTAAAATGGAATGACCAGATGAGCCCCAGGCAGGGACAGTCAGACAATCAAGTTGTGGGGCTCACAGTCAATAGAAATAAGCAAGGAGAGCTCCAGGTAGGTGGGAAGACTCCGAAAAACAAAGGGCAGAGCAAGGAAAGAAGTGAAAATAAGCAAATTGTTAGAGTCACAGAGGAGGGAGCACAGCAGGATGAAGGAGAAGCATTGCCCGTCAGGTCCTGTGACACAGGCCAGATCCCTGCCCCTCCCATCATGATCCTCAGACATCTCCTCACTGCTCACACAGTGTGGTCCGCACTCCTTGGTGATGTTCAGTGACCTCCTCGATCTGGTCTCTGCCTTCCCTTCTAACCGTGTTTGTTCTACCTCCCTGTAACCACAAGCAGCCACAGACCTCCTAGCTGTGTCCAGAATTACACCTCACATTTTTATGCTTCTTGCTTTTATATTTGCTAAGTCTCTAACGTTATGTTCTCCTTGCTGAGTCAGTCAGTCTCTCACTGTCTTTCTCTCTCTTCCCTGCCCCCAAATTTTCCCCACTGAAATTCCAGATCATTGGTTTTAGCCAAGTGGAAAGCATAATTTGAATCCCCTGGATTTCACCATTTGTTTGGAGAATAATAACTAAAAACTGTAAGAAATGTATGGAGTTTACAAAGTTTTTTTGTTTGTTTTTTAAGTAAGGTAGCAGTTTTAAATGGAGTGCGTACTGACCGTCCCTCTCTGTGTGGCATACCTTGAAGGCTAACAGAGTCGCACCAATGTTTAGATACAGGGAGCTTACAAAATACTTAGGGAGCCGGGGACAGGCGAGGCCTAAACTCTGAGATGTACTTTCCCACCAGCTTAGTAAACTCGGGACAGTTGTGAAAGGAAGACCTTTGGATCAGTGAATTAAGTAAGCGTAAAGAATTGGAGAGAGTTCTCATCCTCTGCCCCACTGGTGTTCAGCTTGAACCTAGATAAAGTCCTTAGGAGCTTTTGTTTCTGTTGGGAGTAAGGAAGAAGTGAATGGTGGTTTCCCTATACAGTGAATGTGGGATAGCTAGGAACGGCATGGCAGAGAATTCTTAATTTTAAATGTTTCTTTTATTTTGAGAAATTTTTAAACTATAAAGAAGTACAAACAATGGCAGACAGTCTAAAATTCTGTTATTCACTACTCTTTTGATAGTTAACACTTTGCCATACTTGCGTATTTTTGTTAATTAAATAAATGAAATTAAACAATACAGAAGTTCCATCTATTTTGTATCCTATCTCAAATTCTACTCTCATGAATTCAGAGTAAATTTTATGTCTCTTTTTATATTGTTAGTTACATATATAGTGATAAGCAACATATGATATTTTGTGTGTTTTTTAAAGTTTACCTAATGAGTAAACTATATATTTTCATCTTGCTCAAAGCATTCTTTAAAATATAAAGTGCTATTTTTAGCCTTTTAATCTCCACATGTAAGTTGTTTAATTAAAGTTATTATTAAGATACAGCTTTGGAGGAGTGGTCAGGGCAGGATGGGAGAGTTTACTAGGTGAGAAAGTGCTGGTGAGATTTAGAGATTACTATCTACAGACTCAGTCCAGCAAAAGGCTTGTGTGGAGCCAGCCCCAGTCTTGCTAGTTCTGCGGTCATAGTTAGTTGACTTGTAAATATTGCATGTGTGACAATATGTAGCAACTCTTATGCATTTATCTTCAATGTGTAGCTAGACATACATATGTGTGTGTAAAGTTAAATATATATTGTTAAATTTAGACCATAATGATTGCATCCAGATATGTAAAATTACACATTTATAGTAATATGCATGTCTTAAAAGAATATTTTCTTGGTATTTATTTGGGTAACTTGGAGAAAGACACAGTACTTCTTATGAACCCAAAGGGACATTACCTCTCTCTTGTGATCCAGAAAACCCTCTTCTGTTCTCAAAGAAATGCTTTAGATGTTCTTACTTCAGTGTTTTATAATTGTGTTTTATTTATTTCTGTTTCCTCTTATTAGACTGTGAAGGCCTTGAAGACAGGAGAGCATGTTGTATTTATATCTGTACTTTCAATATTGCCATGGCCAGTTAGTCCCAGTTTTCTATGAGACTAGCCAATTTAGTTCATGTGAAATGGAAGAAAATAATAGTTACCGGGTTTACCTGTGTCCTTAAGCTGTAAGGTATGCATGATATTTTGATCCAAAGTTGACAGAATTTTAATAACTGGATCAACCAATTTGAACAACTACATGAAAAGTGTGAAGTACTGATATTGCTTAATTCCTCTATGTACAGATTAGAGGTGCCTTTGGAAGTAAACTCCAGAATCAATAATTGAGCTGTAAAATGAATTCATAGAGATGTGTCTAAGAAACAGGGTCAGGTTCTAAAAGGGAGAGGTCAGTATCATCCAGGACCATGTGGGGAATTGGATTAACATCCGTCGATTCAAGCAGTTCTCAGCCTAGAAACAGGTTAAGTTCCAAAGGAACATAGTTGACTATAACTTGGAGTACATTTTCCCAATGGAAAGAATATTATAATTCATTTCTCTATTATCATTCTTCTGATTTTGATGCAATTGATTGTAAATTTTTTTCTTTATTAATTTTTTTTTTTTAAGAGAGGAAGGGAGGGAGAGAGAGAGAGAGAGAGAGAGAGGAAGAAACCTCGATGAGAGAGAACATCGATTGGCCACCTCCTGCATGCCCCCCACTGGGGATTTAGCCCACAATCTGGGCACGTGCCCTGACCGGGAATCGGACCAGCGACCTCTTGGTGCATGGGTCGATGCTCAACCACTGAGCCACACCGGCCGGGGCAATTGATTGTAACTTTTCACTGCATTTTGTGGAGAATAAGTTAATGGTTCCTAAGTTTTTCAGAGCATATCGAAATAATAATAGGCATGGAAACATATAGTTAAGTATATAGATAGTCTTTTAACCTTTAGTTTTTGCTGGAAAAATAACTTCCAACTAGCACATTTAAATTTTCTATCATTAATTATTTATTTAAAGAAAGTACTTTCCCAGTTAATCTCATTACTGCAGTAAACACTAATAATAGTGTGTTTATCTTAGAAATCTGAGCAGTTTCAAAAGGTAAAGTTAGATTTATCTCTGAAATATTCATTTGAATAAATTGTTTGAATTATAATGTTCATTAAATTTCATCTGAAATATAATACTTTAGGACCTTATTTCTGGTTTCAATGAAGTTTTGAAATGTTCATTGCTCATTTTCTTTCTCTTTGATCTAACCATGTTATATTTGGGAGAGGATTTAAATGACAGAATTGAAATGAAAGAAGTCATAACTTGCATTTCTCAGACAGTTTATACCATATACTCTGTACTGTGTGCTTTCAGAGTGTTATGCAAATGACATTCTCAGGAGGCTAGAATTATTATCTCCATTGTATATATGAGGAGACTGAAGCCAGGTTGAGGGATTTGCCTGAGTCATACAGTAAGGTGTGCAGCTGGGAGTTAAGCCCAGATTCATCTTGTTTCTTCTGCTCATGATCTTTGTAAACATCCTACCATCCCAGTGCAAGGAAGACTGACGTTTTTAAATGTGTATCGTGAAAAATAAAACCTTGGGTTGCACATGTTATAGGTGTTAGGTTTGGGGTATCCGAAAATAATGATCACTTGTGGGTTGAGCGATCAGAGAAGGTACTCTGAGAGTAGGGGAGTATAAGCTACTCAAACTTAAAAATAATATTAAATAAACATTTGGATTGGAGTCATCAGGAGTCCTACCGAATCAGATATCCAGATTCTATCTCTTCTTGATTGTGTGTTATGCTGAACTTCCTTGTTAAATGGAGATTGAATTCTAAGCTGGCCTGGAAGAAGGATTAGTGCAGAATTGATTCTCATTGATTCGACAGAAAAAAACTAAAAACTTGTATGTGAGGCATTGGGGAACAGGGATGAGCAAGACTGAACTGTCCAGTCGGGGTAGGTCACGAGTACCGTGGTCAGATGAGCATGGGGTGTTGGAAGCTGCAAAGAAGATAGCTTTACTTCTCACCCACTGAATTGTAAAAAGGCTTCGCAGAGGAGATGACACTTGTTGAGAATGTGAAGCATGAAGAGGAGTTAAGTGAACAAGGGGCCGCGCACTAAGGAGATGGAAACAGCAAGTACAGATAACACTGAAGAGCAGTCCTTCCTCCTGAGTTCTGGGCACCTTTTGAATAAGCCTCTTTGTGGCTCATCAGTTTTCATCAGTACCTTGAGGAGTCTTGAAGGCAAGACATTTAGTATTCCATTGATGCAAATTTTAGGAGGCAATAGACTACCTTGTGATATTTTGAAATATTGCACTCTGACATTGGGGTTATATGTATGTTCACAGGGGAGACCTTTGGAGGGTTCTGCATAGAATATCAGAGTTGGCAGCATCCTCAGGCTCCTCTAGTCAGTTCATATTTTCACTCAGCACTAATACTTGCTGTGTGCTCGTCACAGAGGACACAGATGAAAAGCTGGACCTCACCTTCAAGGAGCTCACAACCTATGAGAGGAGCTGGACGGACAGCCATACAGGGTGGAAAGGGCCATAGGAGGAGTGGAGTACTGATTAAACAAAGGAAGGCTCATTGTTTTTCTTGAAGATTAGCTAGATAAAGTGTTAACTAGTCTTGAAGAATCTAGAAGACAGTTCATTTGTGAAAGGAAAAGAGGGTGTCTCAGGCCAGGACTGTGCTGGTTAAAAGAAACAGCTTACACCATTTCCACTGAAGTTTTCAGTCGGAGTTCTTCAAACAAAGATTGTCTAAAATAAGGAAGCAGTGTCATGGATTTTTTTTTTTCTTTGTAGTTGTTTATTGATAATATAAGTTAGCCTAGCCAATGGTTCTCAATGTGTGGTCCTAGGACGAGCAACTTCCACGTCTCCTGGAAACAGAAATGCAGATTCTCAGGCTCCAACCCAGACCTATTAATCCAGGGGCGGTGGTGGTGGACCCAGCAGTCAGTGTCATAACAAACCTTGCAGAGGGTTCTGATGCATGCCCAAGTCTGTGGACCACTGGCCTAAGCTTGTAGTAGCAGTTCATGGACTGTTTGAAGTTTCATGAGCTGTGAGGACAGAGACCCGGATTCGAATCTCCCCCTCTTACTTAATAAGCATGTGACTGTCACCCTATCACCTGGTGTCTGTGAGCTTCTATAAAATGAACATACTACTTCCTTTCTGGGGTTGTTGTGAGGATTGGTTGATACAGTTTCAATAATGCCTGACACTGTAGCTAGCACATTGTGGGCGTTAAAGAAATGGTAACTACTATTATTATTACTGGGTTTTTAAAAAATATTTTTACCAATGAACTTAATACTTTCACTTATTGAATACAAACATGCTCCCTTTTTTTTGTTTTAGATCCAAATGCTCAAGAAATTGAGGACATCTATGGACTCCGTGGTCAAGTAGAACATAAACTAGCTTTCCTGAGAACCCATGTGCCAAAAGAAACGAAACTGGTGCTCATTGGCCATTCAGTAGGCTGCTATATTTCCCTTCAGATTCTGAAGCACGCGCCTGAGCTCCCAGTGAGTATCCTCTGGAGGCGACCACGGTGCCTGCTGCTGCCCTTGCACAGGTCCCCAGCTTTCCTTCATTCTGTGTCTCTTGTTTAACCGACAGGTAGGACAGACAGAGGGTACTTGGCAGCTGCCTTTACCCTTTTTCCCATAGTACTGTGGGCCTGGGTAAGTGTATGTTCATGCAGTTTCCATAACATTTCCAGAAATAATGCTGAAGGAGGTAGGAATTTCCCAACTGAATGCCTTTTAATCTGGGGTCACCTGGAATTCTTAACTTACATGTAACTTGTCTTTTATAACAGAATATTTAAGAGCAGTCACTAGGTAAGACCTAGATAAGAATCTATCTTTAATGGGAAGTATTTTGCAAATGTTCATGTCTCCTTTTAAAAGGAAGAAAATGTATCATCATTATTGATAGACAAACAACTGTCTTTATGGAACACGAAATCTTTAGTCCTAAGTATGAATTCTTATCAGTTCTGTAGCTTGGTAGGCTTTTTGAGACACTTGTCGATTCACTGATTCATTCAAAAGTACTTATTAGGTGCCAGTGTGTGCCAGAGACACTGGACACATCAGGACCTGAAGTGCCCTGGAAAGGCAATGAACTACAAGAGACTTCAAAACACAAGCAGACCTCATACTTTCACTAACATACCATTGAAATAGCCCATTGAATGGATGCAATTCACAACATAAATATGTCTTCATTCAACAGACGTATTAAATACTTGCTTTATGTCAGGCCCTGTGCTGTGTTTTGAGGACATGCCAATGAATAAGACAGTCCTTGAGGTAAGAGAGTGTGAAGTCTAACGGAGGAGACACACTGAGCCAGAGGTGTGATAGCTGCTAAGTGACCTCAGGGCGCGTGGGAGCGTGAAGGAGCGCCACTGAACCTGGCCATCTGAGCGCACAGTGGAAAGCGACTCCTTCATTGTGCATGGCTTCTTATCTCTTATGCGCCTTCTGACTCTCCCTAGCGCTGAATGACCAGGTTGCCATCTGCACAAGCCCTGTGCCGTGGGGTTCCGTTTGCACAGTTGTCTGTGCCCTGGCTGTAGAGGCCCAACACCTAGGTTCAAATATATACAGATACTTGCTCTGTCATTTTGTCAGTGTGACTTTGGACAACTTATTGAGTCTGTACGTCTGTTTCTTCATCTGTAAAATGAAGATAATAGTATGTTCTTCAAAGGATTTTTTTTTTTTTTTTTTTTTTTTAGGAATGATATAAAGAATTAGAAATGGTGCCTAGAACTTAAAAATTTGTTCTAGGTATTAGTGACTATTACTATGGAAATGACAGTGGAATCATTGACTCAGTCAGTAGATTAACTGCCGTGTTAGTTATCTACAGCTGGGTAACAAACTGCTCCAAAACTTAACAGTATAAAACATTTATTCTCTCACAATTTCCGTGTGTCTGGGACCTGGCCATGACTTAGCTGGGTCCTCAGCTTCAGGGTCTTTCATAAGACTTTCATCTAAAGGTCTCATCTGAGCCCAGCCGGTGTGGCTCAGTGCTTGAGCATCAACCCATGCACCAAAAGGTCGCCAGTTCGATTCCCGGTCAGGGCACGTGCCCAGGTTGTGGGCCAGATCCCCAGTGTGTGTGTGGGGGCGTCATTCAGGAGGCGGCCAGTCAGTGTTCTCTCTCATCGATGTTTCTGTCTCTTGCTCCCTCCCCCTTTCTTTCTCTCCAAAATCAATAAAGAAAAAAAAATTTTTTTTTTTTTTATGTAAATAAAAGTCTCTTCTGGAAGTTTGAATTGAGAAGGACCTGCTTACAAGTTCATTCGGATGGTTGTTGGCCGGACTAGTGCCTCGAAGGTTGTTTCACTGAGCTCGCAACACCTTCAGTTCCCTAGCATGTGGGCCTTTCTAACTTGCCTCGTGGGAGCAAGTGTGGGAGAAGAGCCAGAGAAGGAATCTGGGCACGATGAAGACACAGCCGTAACCTCATTGCAGAAGTGCCCATCCTGTTACTTTACAGTATTCTGTTTGTTGGAAGCAAATCGCTAGGCCCAGCCCTCACTGAGGAGGAGTGGCTTACACTAGAGCATAAAGATTCGAAGACGAGGATCACTGGGGGCCATGTCAGAGGCTGCTTAGTCCACCCCTCCCACAGCTAGGATTTCACTTGTGTGGTGTACAGTCAAGCATGTAGACACACTCACACACACACACACAATTTCTCAGTGTAGGAAGTGACTTGGTCCTTTTTTAAAAAAAAAAATAGTTCATGTAAGTTTGGTTATTAGTTGTTCCAGGTGTTTTAAAAGCATGAAAACATTTTTTAAAGAGTATTTGCGTATTTGAAATAATAGCATTACTATTTGTGATGGCTGATTTTTTTTTTATCCTCACCTGAGGATATTTTTGCATCTATCCTCAGATAGAATGGGAGGAAGAGAGAGAGAAATATCGATGTGAGAGAAACGCACCGAGTGGCTGCCACCCACACGACCCCAACCGGGGCCTGGGACAAACCGCAACCGAGATACATGCCCTTAGCAGAAACCCAGCCTGGGACTCTCTGGTCTGCGGGCCGACGCTCTAATCACTGAGCCAAACTGGCCAGGGCTATGATGGCTAATTTTATGTGTCAACTTGACTGGGTTGAGGGACACCCAGATAGCTGGTAAAACATTACTTCTGAGTTTGTCTGTGAGGGTGTTTCCAGAAGAGATTAGCTTTTGAATCTGTAGACCGAGAACAGAAGACCCGTCCTCACCACCGTGCTCTGGCACCATGCAGTCCTTTGAGGGCCCAGACAGAACAAAAACCCTGAATTCTTTCTTCCTCAGTTCTTGAGCTGGGGCACCCACCTTCTGCCCTGGGACACTGGATCTCTGGGTTCCCAACCTTTCAAACTCCAGGAGTCACACCATTGGCACCCCCAGGTCTGAAGCCTCAGGCTGATTATATCACTGGCTTCCCTACTTCTCAGCCTCCACAATTGCATGAGTCAGTTCCTCTACTAAAGCTCCATATATCATCTGTTGCTTCCATTTCTCTGGAGAACCCCGATGATTTCTCCATTATGTAACTATCAGGAAGAAAACATGCACTTCTTTGTCCCTCAGTTTATTAACTTAATTGCAGATCTGTCCTTGGGAGTTTTGTTTGCTTGCTCCACATCCTTTCTGCATATATGTATCGTTGTATCGTTTCTCTCACGCATCTGTGAAAAGAGTTATTTGTTTCGAACCCATCTCCTTTTCGGTGTGCGCTCACAGTGTCTGCTGGGAAAGAAGTGCAGTGCATCTTAAGGTGAATGTCGCTTCTTGTACCTTCTTCAGCTTTAGAACCTCCTAATTATCGCTCTTGTCCTCATAGGAATAGTGGTGAAAGGGAAAAGGAAGATACAACATGAGCTTAGCCTGGTCTGCTTGCGGACACATAACTCATACTGTGATTATAGAGTTTTCAGAGACATGCAAAACTGTATTTTCTCTAAAAAGGGTATATTTTAGAAAATAACGTGTGCAATAAATTGTCCATAAAGGTCATCCAGGGAGGAGGGTGAACATCTGTATGATTTTTTTTATTATTCAAAAGCTTTATCTGGTTTCAGTTAACTACATTGTTGAAGTCCCCCCCCCCCACCCTTCTTTAAACACCTGGCCCAGTTAATTTTGGTGGTATGATCCCTGCTGAAGTGTTGAAATTTCAGTGTCTCTAGGCTACTCTAAGAAGGCACAGTGCCTGCATGCCTGAAGTTAGCATGACACGCTCCATTTAAGATGCATTTGACAATCAAATACGTTTGTATAAGCCAGAGTGTTGCAATCCCTAATCATTTTGCCAAAAATAAGTTTGCTGTTATGTTTTATAACATATGAAGTGTGATAATAAGAAACTTGTGTTTCCATCTCTTCTGTTATTTTTACTGGAATATTTGCCTCCCATAAGATTTTAAGGACATATGTGTAGTTTAGTAGCTGGTTTATTTGGTTTTATTTTGGTTCAGTTCTTTACCATATTTTTGTAACTAATTATAAGAAACGTTGGTCTTAAACTAACTATAAGAGACTTAGTGCATATTTTAAACATAGTATGACCTGTATTTTAATATACTAAAAAATTAGCTCTTTTAAAAATCTGGTATTAAAATATTTTTTCTTTAAACAGATTTGGTACATAGAATTATAGAAATTCTTCATATATTTTTACTGTGAATTCCAGAATAAAGAATTTAAGAAGAGCCTGAGAAAACCGGTAATTAGAAAATTGTAATTAGATGGCTGTTGTGACTTATAATAATAAACACAATTTTAGAATCAGGATCTTAGAACTGAGATGGGCTCAGTGACAATCCCGTCCCGTCTTTCATGTTGTAGATGGGACGGCGAGAAAAGGGCCTTGCCAGGGCCCAGCCTTGGCTCTCTGACTCCAGGGGTGGGGCACAGTCATATTAGCTGTGGGTGTAAAGAAAGTCTAAGAAGATATTTAGTAGGTCTTTTAACCTTTGGGTGATAGCAGAGCCTACAAATGTTTCTAGAGTATACGTATGCGACTCATTATGTTTCAGCTCAAGGAATAAGAGAACCCATGGACATTGCTCTAGCAATTTGGGGGTGGAGGGTAACATGGGAATAAAAAAATAGTAGTGCCATCCTTCTGTCTAGAGTCTTTTTCCTCTCAACATCAATTCTCTGTATGTTTAAAATGTACCATCTGATTTGGCCAATAAATTGTGTAAAGTTCAAGGTTGGAAGTTGAAAGCCATTGATTCTTAACTGGGCTTGACACTGAGTCATGAGGTGAACTTCAAGTAATTTCACTTTTATTTTCCTCTAAGAATTTCTGTAATATTTAATGCTAATACTTCCCCTCCTTCCAGGGGTATCAGATCCTTCAAAACTTAATTTTTTTTATTTGGCCATCCTTTGGGTGAAAGGCACAATAACATAGAGCTTCCTTTCTCTGCCCGGTTGGCAAAAATATCCTCTCTAAGTGAAATTTCCAGATTACTTAAACTCACTTTTAAGCATCAG